TATATATATATATATATATATATATATATATACATCCTTCATTTTTCTATTGAAATGACTATCAGTGATGTGGATATCGCATGCTCGGGAACGAGGTGGCATTATATGCTCTTTTTAGTATGGAAGGAATCGACAATACTTTATCAAGAAACTTAACAGAAGCTTTGCAAGATCTTCCCCTTCCCCAACTCACTCGAACCTTTTACTGTTTTTGTGAATAGAAATTGAGTTTCAATTTGTTTACATTGTGCCCACTCCCTTTCTTCCACCAAACTGATTCAAGGACAGAATTCAGAGTTACTCCATAATACATTTCCTGATGAAACTTACAGCTACTTGTGGATATTGCATAAGAGGTAAATCAGTGTACTTAAGAATACAACACCAGTACATACTAGTTAGTCACATAATACCCAGTTAGCGTTTAACTGTTTCTGGATTTGAGTTGAAGCAGAATAAAAATAAGAAAAATGTTGTTTAGCTGAATAAGAGGTGTTTGGCGGAGAAGGAGAGAGCTGGTTATAAAACAAATTATTAAATGACCGGCACAAAATGCCGTTGCTAATCTAATCAAATTTGTAACACCAGTTAAAAGTATCATTGCAAAAGGGAAGCCAAGATATATAGTAATTTTGAAAGGCTCTACAGCAAAAATGGAAGAGAATAAATGGTATTAATAAACTGTTAATATCCATTCTTGATCAATGTCCTCATATAGCTAAGTCAATTTGGCTGTCATAGTCAAGTACAGCTAATGTGTTCTTATGTTGACTAACATCCTCCTGGATAGTGGTTGATGGTTGTTAAAAGGTAGATTTTAAATACTAATTTTACACACCACCGTGTTTGAAATCGCCAACAGGTAAGTGAAGACTAATGCTGAAAAAAAAAGAAACACCTACAGTTTTCCTGTGATATTTGTATTAATATGAGGCTTACTGGTTACCAATGCTTCACCCGATTTCTACTCAAATACTGTAACACTAAAGCAAAATTGAATATGAATTTCACTGTTTTACATCTAGCGACATTTCACGTATCATGGAGAGTTAAGCATATTCATGCATTTTATTGTCATATATTTAATCTTATATAGTTAAAAATCAATGAGAACACCCACATCAAATTGTAGAATATTAAACTTAGAAGAAAAAAGGAGAAAACACGTTGTGATACAAAATATTTAGGAAAAAGACTGTGTTATATATTACATCTAAAAATCTGTTTTTTTTTGTTTCATTTCAGGCAAATGCTCTTTTTAAAATTTATGTACAAACTGCTTTAAATATTCGAATTGGTGTGAAGTAATTTCTAAATTCATGAATTGATAGGTTTGGTTTGTTTTGAATTTCACGCAAAGCTAAACGAGGGCTATCTGCACTGGCCGTCCCATATTTACCAGTGATAGACTAAAGGGAAGACATCTAGTCAACACCATACACTGCCAACTCTTGGGATACTGTTTTTTTTCAATGAATAGTGGGACTGACCGTCATATTATAACGCACCCACGGCTGAAAGGGCGAGCATGTTCGGTGAGAGGAATTCGAACCCGCGACCCCCAGATTGCAAACCGAACGCACTAACCACCAGACCATGCCAAGCTACTTTGTGTCAATTCGAATATTCATAACAGTCTGTACTTAAGTCTGACAGAGAGAAGTTGCTATAATCTAACTTAAATTTAAAAATGTTTTCTCGAGGGATATTTTAACCGAATTCTTTCCCCATAAGGTATTTCATTACACTGCGTTTTTCTGACTTATACCACGTTTAATTGTCTTTTTCAATTCTGACACTAATTGTTATGTAGCAGACTATTGAGTGGATTATTTTGTATATCCTTTTAGTGACATCTGAAGAATCAAATATTTACTAAATGGTAAAAAGTTTTGTGAAAATTCAAACATCTTATCCTCCAAAATCACTTGATTTAGGTATATTTCTTATTATTGGTTATAAAACCTGGTCTAAGACATTCCTTGTAATGTATTAATAATCTAACACATTTCTCTAATGGCAGATAGCTTCAGTCTGAAAACCTTTGCATAAACAAACGGACATGCAAATTGCACAATCAGAAATTAAATCCAATTTACTGATAGTTATCCAAGGCTTAATAATTAGCTACAGCATTAACTCGTACTAGAGTTTAGATGCAATCCCATTGTACAATATATTAGGAATATTGGAATATCTAAGTTATTCCATTAATGACGAATATAACTCTTGAAATCAAAGGATAAAAAGCGGAATAAAATTACATCCATCCCTTTAACAAGACTCATTGATTTTTTTTCAAAACAATATAATTTTTTTCTTTTTCAAGTCACTCTTTTTATTTCATATACTTACGTTATGTAAATATATTCGCTTTTCAACAGAAGTATTTATTTATTAAATCATCTA